ACAGAGTAGAGGAGAGCTAGGACCTTGCTCTGGGTCAGGCTTTGGTTTAAGAGGATGTGGTGGCTGGTTTGCTCTTCTATCCAGACCACTCACACTTACTCCACCTCAGCAGTAAGTCTGTCTGACTTTCTTATCATTCGTGTGTTCACTGGAGTAGCATTTTCAATTTCCTTCAAGAACTCTTCCTTTGCTTTCACAACTTGGTTGTTTGGTGCAAGAGGCCCAGCTTTCAGTCCGTCTTGGCTTTTGACATGCCTTCCTCACTAAGCTTAGTCATTTCTAGCTTTTGGTTTAAAGTGACAGATGCATGACTCTTTTTATTTGAACACTCAGAGGTCATTGTTGGGCTATTAATTGGCCTAATTTCAATATTATGATGTTTTTAATAGGGAAGCCCAAGGAGAGGGAGAGAGATAGGGGAATGGTCAGTCAGTGGAGCGATAAGAACACATAAAACATTTATTGATTAAATTTACCATTTCATATGGGTGCAAATCGTAGTGCCCCAAAATAATTACAGTAGTAACAACAAAGATCAGTGAGCACAGATCACCATAACCAACATAATAACAATGAAAAAGTTTAAAATATTGCAAGGATTACCAAAATGTGACACAGAGACACAAAGTGAGCAAGTGCTTTTGAGAAAATGGTGCTGATAGACTCGGCTCAACACAGGGCTACAACAGACCTTCAATTTGTAAAAAACACAGTATCTGTGAAGCACAATAAGCAAAGCTCACTAAAACGAGGTATGCCTGTATTAAGGAGATATATTTTTTTTAGATGTGACTATGGTACTACGGTTATGTTTTTAAAAGTGTCTTTTATATATCCAGAATTTAAATATTTATGGATCAAATAACAGGATGTCTTAGATGTGCTTCAAAATAATATGAGGGACTAGATGGGGGTATGGATGAAATAAAGTTGGCCATGAGTTGACAACTGTGCAAAGTAGGCAATGGGTACATGGAGATTCTTTATACTATTCACTCTACTTTTGCCTATGTGTAAAAACTTTGCACTAAATAAGTTTAAGCAAGAATAAAAAGTTACTGTGTTGGGTGCCTGGGTGGCTTAGTCGGTTAAGCATCTGCCTTTGGCTCAGGTCATGATCCCAGGGTCCTGGGATCGAGTCCTGCATTGGGCTCTATGCTCAGTGGGGAGTCTGCTTCTCCCTCTGCCCCTCCTGCTCCCCCTGGCTTGTGCTTTCTCTCTCTCAAATAAATAAATAAAATCTTTAAAAAAAAAAAGTTACTGAGCTGACCCACTCTCCAACCCAGGTTCTCCCAACTGACTTCAAAGACAGAAAACCAAGAAGAAAACTGATGGAGAAACAGCACAGAAACTGAAACTGGATGCTCTGGGCAGGGACATCTCAGACATGGTGTGGACAAGAAGAAGGGGCTGGTGGAAAACAGCATTAGCCACGGTGGAAAGCCATAGTCTGGATGCTTTGTTAAAGAGGATTACAGCATTGAGTTAAAACTGATTTCAGAATAAAAGAATTGATGTGTATAAACGTAGTAAAAAGGGTTTGTAGCTTTGGCTTATAAAGTGAACACTCTTAACATGAGTGAGTGAAAGGATAATTGCACATAAACCCTGTGTATCAAATCAGGAGGGTTTTTTAATTACAAAGGAATCTCCTAAAGCCCTTCGCTCATCTCTTATTAAAGCCCTATCACACTGCAATATAATTACCTGCTGGCCACCCTCCTCCAGACAGACCCACTTGTCACCGCCCCTGGGAGGGCAGCTCCAATATGAATGCCGTCTTTCAGATACTCCATCCCACAAGCCGAAGTAAGACTCCCAAGGTACAGTTTCCAGGCTTCCCCAGGGTCTTGGCTCAGAGAAGAAATGGCACTGGCCCTCAGGTGGTAAGTTAATTTTAAAAAAGGAAGGAAAGGAGGGAAGAAGCAAGCCAGATATTCTCTATAATATCTTAATGATTTATATAGGGGTAGTCCCTGATCACAAGTCATTGGAGGTTCCTCTATGATCCTGAGTTTCCAGGGAGAGAAGGGGTGAATGTTCTCCCAGTAATCCATGGCAGGCTAAGCCCTCCAATGTGCAGATTTACATGAGGAAGGTTATCTGTGAGATTAGAAGCCATTCTTTTTCAGTGAAAGCTGGGAGTCTAGAGATTACAGTAGAAGGCACAGGCAGCTCATAAATCTGCAGAGCCTGGGGCTCTGGACAGCCCTCTCATTGGCAAAGCGATTGATGCTTCTGCCAGGGAAGCTCCAAAGAAACTCTTCATCACTATCTCATTTGGAGACTTGACACCCAAATGGACATACTGATGCCCAAGTTTATAGATCTGAGCAAAGCCCAAAGGTGTCAAATTTATATAAATCAGGGTGGGAGGTCTGCAAAGGCCCTGAGGACCAGGCTTTTCTCAAACACCAGTTTCTGATTCTCTGAAGGTTTAGAGCACCTGGGACATTGGCCTGGAGCTTTCATAACAAAATGTAAGGAAGGAACTCGAGTCCTAACACAGGAGCAGGCTGAAAGAGCCCCTCACCAGGTTGATGTCAGGTATTCTCGGCCCAGAGAGACCCAAGCAACTGTTGCCATTGTGGGCTCTACCTCTGTCCTCCAGCTGGGCTCAGATTTTCTTGTTCTCAGGGATGTGAGCCCACATCACATCACTGTGTCCCAAATGAACAACCTATGACTTTTACCTTCCCAAATGCCATGGAAAGCTGACTACTCTCTTCAGAAAAACAGGTAATTGATTGCTTCTGCTCAACCTTCAGGGCCCAGCTCAAACAAGACCCCTTCTATGAAGCCTTCCCTCAAGCCAAATGAGTCACTGCTTCTGTGCTCCCACCATGCTCATCAATTCACAATTTGGGTAGAGCACGTCTCTAAAAACACAGTCTGTTTATTCTGTTTAGCTGTTTTACCCATGGACCAAGGCTCCCTGAGGCAGACTGTATTTGATTTTCTAGGTCCCCAATGCCTGGCCCATGGAGGCCACAGAACAGCCTCAAGTAAACACCGAGCGAGAGAGTAAATGAGGGTTCTGTGAGCCAAGACACCTCTGATAAAAGCCCACATGCCCCTCTTGCCTGAATCTTACAAAGGGTCACCTCCAACTACCCAACATAAACTGAGCACTCACTCTGTCTGTGCCAGGCAGGCATTAGGCCAAGCACTGGTGAGTTCAAGTCCAATCAGACTCAATCCCTTTCCCATGGACCTCAATCTCAGGAAGAGACCCACCTTGCCCCAGGGCCTTCTCTACTAACAGTCAATGAAATCCATCTGCAAGAGGAGCTTTACAAGTGTGTAGACAATCAAACCATAAGGGAAACAAGCTATCACAAGCTCATTCTAAGGCAGTGGGTTGTAAAAACAACCCACTGAGGTAATGAAAGAAAAATTTTAGAACTTCTATTAATATTTATTTTTCATCAAAAACTAAAAAAATTAAGCTTTAATAGTTACTATATGGACTGACAACAGGATATGTAAACACTTCAAATATACATATATTACGAGGGTGTGTGCTTATGGCAGACACACTGCAAAATGGCCTCCACACAATGCATATGTCTATCAAATCATCACAACGTATACTTTAAGTATCTTACAATTTTCTTTGTTAAGGAAACCTTAATCAAGCTGAAAAATAAAACAAAATAAAAATGCCCTCCAATGATCCCTGCCTCCACGTATTCACGCCTTTGGGTAATGCCCTCCCCCTGAGTGTGGGTAAGACTTACAACTTGCGTCTAGTCAAAAGAATACGGGAGAGCTGATAGATATCATTTCCATGGTTACTTTACGTTACTTATTCTTCTTGCATAGGTACGTTGGCTGAGGCTCAGAGACAGTAAGTTCCTTGCCCCAGGTACACTGCTAGTACGTGACGGTACCAGGATTTCATTTTGGCTCCACTTGACTCTAAAGGCCCTGGTCTTTGCACCATACCCTGTTGCTCTGGGAGAGAAGGTCACCCTGTGATTACAAAACAGACTGAAGGTTCTCGGCCCACAGGGAGATCATGTGCAGAGATCATGGCTTCATTCATTCACTCCACCAACATTTACTGAGCACCCCCTATACACCAGGTCTTGTGGTGAGCAATGAAGATGCAAGGTAATGCCCATTTCCTGTTTTCACGTTGCTGAGTCGAACTGGAGAGCAATACCAGTCCATGGAGGACAAATGAATCAATGAATGAACAAATGAATATGCAGATGGACACACAAACAGTGAAGAATTAGTGTTTCCAGCACCATTAACAGTGATATATGTTACAAGGTATAATGGAATCGCGAGGTGAGTGATGACTGGTGGAAGAAAGGGACCATTTCAGACATCTGGAACAGCAAGTGCAAAGGCATACGTGTTCTGGCAATGGCAAGAAGTTCAGCATGGTGGCAGCCTTGGTACACTGAGGATCTGGAACAGGGAGGCAAGCAATGAGCCATGGAGGAATTGGCTCTTCTTCCTGTACACTAACCTACTGAGCTAACCACTGAAGTAGAATCATCTGAGAGGCCAGAGAGCAAACCAGGCATGAGAATTTGTAGGCTTTGGAGAACCCTATGAGTAATTCAAGAGCAGTCACACTCAGGGTCTGAGGCCAGGTTGAGAAGTCACAGGGAAACCAGAAAAACCACCAGGGCTGTAACCAAATAGAACAAACCCATACTGTGCTCCCAGGAAGGAGACAGAGAGCAGAGGAGAGGGGATGTGGAGCCAAAGACAGGAAGGAGCTCCTCTAATGAAGAAGCTAAGAGCTCACATCTCTCAAATCTATCAAGCCAGGACCATGTAGAGTTCACAATTGAGGCCTTGGGCTGGAGGGCCACATGGATACAGACATGCGTGTGCACAAATGCTATAGTGAATCATACGGAAAGACAAAAGGGTCTGGCCCTCTTGGTTCTTAATGCTAACAGTTTCAGAAGTGATGCACATGCCCATTATTTACTGTACCAAACCACAAAAAAAGTCATAAAAATATAATCTCTTACTTTCCTCTTTAGCTACTTGGCTGTTGCAACTGTTTGGTTTGGAGCAACTGTAGCTGTTGGGAGGTGGTCCATCTCTGGCGCATCAAAAAAGTATGCCTGCAGGAAGAGGAAACCCATGAGGGGAGTTAAAACACAATGGTCTGCTCGAGTGTTCTAGACTCCAAATTAATAGGATTTCTGGGCTCTCGTGGCCCCTACGTTTCCCTCTGCCACACCTGTCATCCCACTGAACTACAACCGACTCTGTTTCTGTCCATCTCACTTACTCTACTATGAGTAACTTTTTAAAGTGTAGCCACCATTTACTGGCCACTTCCTCCATAGGACTTAATCTGCATAAGAACCCCGTAAGGCTGCTATTATTATTCTCATTTGACAAATAAGAAACGGAGGCTCAGAGAGGCTGTCATTCAATCTGGTGCACATGGCTAGCGAGTGGGAGAGATGGGTCTTTCTGACTCCAAGGGTCGGTCTCTTCATTGCCACATCACCCAGTCTCTCCTCCAGGGCAAAGACTGTGTCCTTCCTGTTCCTGTGCCACCAGCCTCTCACTCAGGGTCTGGCCCACGATGTAAACAACCCATACTTAAGGAACTGAGCTACAACAGATTGTTGCTAAACTAGGTGGCTCTTGGTAAGAACCTTTACAAGAAAGTGCCAGGCAGGCCTGACCTCAAAATTCTCCAGCTTGGAAAACAAAGGTCTGATAAGTGATTCCAGTCACCATCCACAATTTCACTGTCAAAAATCAGGAGGAGGTAGGGGCGCCTGGGTGGCTCAGTCGATTAAGCGTCTGCCTTCGGCTCAGGTCATGATCCCAAGGTCCTGGGATTGAGCCCCACGTTGGGCTTCCTGCTCAGCGGGAGCCTGCTTCTCCCTCTCCTCCCCGCCTGTGCTCTCTCTCACTGTCTCTGTCACTATCTGTCTCTCTGTCAAATAAATAAATAAAGTCTTAAAAAGAAAAAAAAAATCAGGAAGAGGTAGAAGAGGGAGAAAAAACAAGGAGGATCTTCCAACCTATCTCAAAGTCTGAGAATCCAACTTTAGCCCAGGAAAATACCTGGGTTGTTCAAAGTAAGGGGAGTCCCTCCCTTAATAAGCCAGGGGTCACTGCACACTTGTGACTCCCCCTTGGGAGTCATGGCATAAGGAAGGTAAAAGGACAAAAAGCCAAATCAAGAACCATTTCACCAGCTCTACTCTCTATCAGCCAGAAGGGGGCACCAAGACAACACACTGGAGCTTTCCCCAACACTCCTATTCTGTGTGAACTCTTCAACAATCCATTTCCAAGTTTCTAGCTGCGGAGCCCCCCTAGCTTGTGACATTCCCAGAGCAATCCTATTAGCTCTAAAAGCCTTCTTCCCAGGGCCCATTCCGGCACCTGCTTTCTGAGGTGGGGAAAGAATGGTTCCTAACTTAAGGGGGTGGGGGACAGGGGCCGTGCTACCAGTGTTGGGCCCCTCCAGCTATTTTGATGCTGTGTGCACAGAGCCACAAAGCGCCCCCCATGGTGCAGGAACCGTGCCTTTCTTCCAGGCTCCTGGAGGAGGCCCTCATCAGATGGAATGAGCCAAGAAGCCAGGGTCTAAACTTGGCTTTGCTAGTAACTCACACTGTAACTTTGGACGAGTCACTCCACCCTTCTGAGCCTCAGTTTTCTAATGTGTAAAACAAAGGGATTAGAAAAAATTGCCTCTAAGGGCAACTATAATTTTATGACTCGTTAGTTCATTAATGCCACAAATACTTAGTAACAACCACAGTTACCATTTGGGGAGTGCCTACTGTGCACCAGGCACATACTAGATCATTAATAATAGGCAATGTTATCCCCATTTTAAAGATGAGCAAGTGGAGGCTCAAAGAGATGGAGATTTTCCCAAGGCTACACAACCCTGTGTCTGAGCTAGGGTTTCAATCCAGCTGTGTCCGGCTCCAAAGTCTATGTTCTTCTCTTCTGTGGGGTGGCCTGCAATTTGGCACCTAGCCTACGCCCCGTCTAGATATAGGCACTGTGGAGGCGTCAGGATGAACCATCAGGTTTTCTAGAAGTCAGGCCAGGAGTGTCACCTGGCAGAGTGAGGGCACGGGACGGTCGACTATCAGCAGTAACCCCCGCAAACACAGGCTTGTACATCTCAAACCCGCCAGCCAAGGACGCACCCTCCTGGGCTTCCTTAGTCATCCCCGCCAGGAGTGTCCCGCTACCAGCAGCGCACAGCCGTCAGCACCGAGGGGCCCTCAGCAGGTAGAGTGCTGGCATATGCTTCAGAATACTGAGGCAAAAATGTCAATCTGTGCTCCGCAGGGCAGAGTGGGAAGCCAAGCTGTCTGGGTCGGCCAGTGCCCCTCCGCTGCCAAGTCTTCTCCTTGCCCTTCCAATAAAAATAATGTCTTGCATGTGTTCGGCTTGTGTTGTTCATGTTGCACATAACATTCAATCCTTGCAAAAGTAAAGATGCTCCTGCAGCTCCCTTTTCTAAGTGAGGAGGTGGGGTCCAGAGAGGGGAAATATCCAAAGCAGGGGTGAGGGAGCTGGAACCAGACCCCGTCTCCTCACCTCTGCTTCAGCCTCTTGCACTGCACATCTCCAGGAGAGGACAGAGGAGGCCAGCTCTGGTGTGGAGACCAAAACCCCAGGCACAGAGGGCCCCTGGCTAAACACCTGATCATGGAATAGTTCCCTTCTTCGCAGAGGAGAAAACTGTGCCTCCCCTCCAAGAAAGGGGTCCTACACCTGCAATTCCCTCTCTGCTCCATCATCCAGTGCACCTGGCTCCCCGGAGTCCCCTGGAAGTAGACCAGGCAAGGCCTTCTCTCCTGCCTCCTTGCCTCCTCCAACTTCCCAACCAGGTGTATAATGGGAAAGATGTTCTGGAGAGACGGTGGAAGATGCAAGAGGCACCCATGAAAGGGCCCTGGCAGCTTCAGATGACACAGGGCTCTTCTAGTAACTTCTTTACATCTGAAGAACCCTTCACAGTATATGAAGGGCTCTCACAGCCATCTCACCGAGCCTCACAAAAGCCCACAAAATATGAATCTCCGTGACAGAGGAGGAAGCCAAGTTTCTGAGAGAGGGCGCTCACCTAGGCTCACAGTGCTAAGCCCCATGCAGTACTTTCTGCTTCCGTCTTATTGCTCTCTTCCAGCAAGTTCCTGAGCAGCAAGATGGGCAGGTAAGTCCCAATGTCAGTGTCATTTATCCCAAAAGGAGGAACAGGCATAGGAGGTAAAAGAGCCTGCCATGCGTACCAAATGAAATAGGTTCTTAATAATACTCTTACCACCCCCCACCCCACCGCTCCAAAGTCTGATTGCCATGCTCCTCTCGATCCCTTACACAACTGAACAAGGCAGCACTTCTTCCTGCCTCCTTTTCTCCATCAATGCCTCAACTAAGTGTATAGGGAAGAAAATTCAAGGGAGACATGGGGACACACCAGTGAGACGGCTACAGTGAGAAAGGACGTTCTTCCTCAGCAGACAGAAGGGTCAGGAGGGTCGCAGCAGCATTACAAGGGATCAGCCCAGGGGCTCCAAGTGCCAGAAATTAATGGTGTCACTCTGCCGTTGAGTAAAACCAACAGTCCTCTAGAGGTCTCAAGAATTTAAAGCTCAGACATGTGGAAAGTATATGTAAACCAGCTCTGTGTCTCAGAACCTGGCACTTTTTATGAGACTCGTTCAATGATCAAGTATTGGGATCTTATGCATGACCCAGGCTGCCTAGACAAAAATATTATAGATCAAATGGTGCCAAAGAAATACTTACTCCCACAACTGTAAAACCTGACCAAGGGTCTGGACACGGGTGACACGGATGGATATCTTCCTGTGGGCACGTCCTTTCCTTCATCAGTGACCTTAACATTCCTCGACCTGGAGCTCTTTAAAAACCTGTGTCAGGCCTTGTTAAGGTCATGGACCAAAATATTTGTGTACAATGTGCACAGAAGATAGAAAATCATATCTCCTTAGGATCAAGGGAAAGGGACCTAATTTATGGGTATTTGTGGGACAAGTTCTACATTAAATATTTTATATGTACTATTTTATTTTATCCTCAGAACAACCCTATGTGGCAGGAAATACTATACCCCTGTTACAGATTAAGACGCTCAGATTCAGAGAAGTTAGGTACCATGGCCAAGCTCATACAGCCAGTGACTAACAGAGCTGGTGTCCGATCTGGGCCTGTCCGACTCAAAAGGACATGCTCTCCCTAAAAAGACCCCCAAATACATAAACTCAAAAACTCTTTTAAACATTACTCACCTTAAAAATATCTCCCCTTTCCTAATTTGACTTCATCCTCATGCTTTCCACCTATGAAACTTTAAATTTCAAAACTCTTTCTAGGTATGTGCAGAAAACCAGCAAAGACATCCAAAGGCAGAACTCCCCCACAAAACCCCGCACCCCAACCTATTGTAGACACTCATCCAGCTCCACTTCCTTTGGCCAGACTCTGAATTGTAACCAAATTTCAGAAATTTGGTAAAGCCAGAGATTACCATCAAATTCTCATAAATTTACCACTTCTCATTTAGGACAGTCTATTTAAAACAATATTCATTTTATGCAGCCAGTTTTAAAGGAATCATTGTGAATAACAGCTTGGGGTCTTTCAGCATTTGCATCTAAAGCACACAGGAAGGGGCGCCTGGGTGGCTCAGTCAGTTGAGCGGCTGCCTTGGGCTCAGGTCATGGTCCCGGGGTCCTGGGATCGAGCCCCGCATCGGGCTCCCTGCTCCGCAGGAGGCCTGCTTCTCCCTCTCCCACTCCCCCTGCTTGTGTTCGCTCTCTCGCTGTGTCTCTCTCTGTCAAATAAATAAATAAAATCTTAAAATAAATAAATAAATAAATAAATAAAAATAAAGCACACAGGAAGATCACAGGAGTGAGACCATACCAAGCAGCCCACAGAAAGCAGCGTGTGAAGCAACACAATTGTGCCGATTGTGGCCAACGCGATGCGCCTGTTATCCTCACGAACAGCTGGCCAAAATGTCATTGCCAAGACAGAGCCTGAGATCCCCAGGGCAATCATGACTAGAATCCAACGGACAGCCTTCTGGGGGATAATCCACAGTACCTGAAAGAAAAGGAGGGAGAGGAGGGCTTTATTGGAGGCATCTGGTCATTCCAGGCACCTGTGCTTATAAAGTCCCCTGAGCCCATCGGCGGCTGGGCGCCCACTGCCACTGCGGCGTCTCAGTGTCAGCCTGGAGGAACACCCCGGCACGCAGACTGAGATGAATGCTTTCAGAATGAAGGGCTGGAGATCCAGCAAAGGTACTTGGCTCCCTGTGCCCCTTCCTGCTGAACTTCTAAATTCAAAGGGTATTTTTCAGGTGCCCATCAGTGTTGGGCTAGAAATGATGACGCCGGCTGAATTTTTGAGAAGCCCAGGGCGTCACTCAGCATAAGTGTGGTACTTACCGCTGTGGGGATATAAATGAAGAGCGAATATCCATAGACGCACACAATCTCCAAAAACGAATAGGAAACGATGTTCATAACTTTGCTGTTTCTCCACATGAGGAAACCCCAGAGTGCGAGAGGAACCAGCCAGGCATAGGCATAGATGATGGTGGCCGCTATGGACACTGAGGATGATAAGACAAAGGTAGTAGTCCCCATGTAATCATGCCTTTAATTACTATCAGCGCACTTCTCATACCTTCCTGGGCTTATTTCCTAGCATGTTCACCTGCTTCACCGGATCATGGGATCGTGTCTTACTATGCCTGGCACAGTACCTGTCCCAGAGCAGGCACCCAATCCCGGTCCTGAATTGATGAATCTTCAGCACTGTCTTTGTGGTGATGACCAGTGGTCTCTCCTACGGCTTTTATAATTTGTTTAATAACTAACAACTCACAGTATTAAACAACTGCATTATGCAACTGAAAGACTTCAGAGGGCCTCACTGCAAGTGTTTAAACATACCAAGCATTTCAACCAAGCGAAAGCCAACTCTCCCCCTAGAAGAACACACCCTTTTTCCTCGTCTAACAAGAGCTGAGACTGATTTCTTGTGCAAATTTTTATTAAAAATGCCCTGGGTACAGATTAACTGGCTCTGCACGCTATTTAGAGGGCCTTCTATTGGTCAAAATGTTCCTCACATTCGCTTTCTTCACTAAGTAATTCTGTGTCTGTGCTGGAAATGCTGCATAGCAGCTCCTCAGAAGAGCAACATTCGGCATTTTACTGTCCCTTCCTCCTCTTCCAGTAGCACCATGCTCCAGAGGCTTCGTTTTCCCTCTTCTGGAGTGGACAACCAGTAAGTGTGGCTAAGCCCGTGGCACCAGCCCTTCCTACAGGAAAATCAGTGGGTGATGCACTTAACGCTCTTGGCAAGCACAAAGGCACCCCAGGCAATGTAGTCAGACTCTGGTTAAGACATATGATTGGCCAAAACATTTTTAGCTCCTAGAGGAGTTTTTTCACATTTGGAACTCCCTCATTAAGCCAAATGTCATTCTGCTGATATACTGCCTTTTTTTTTCTTTTTTTTATAACTAAAGGAAGGGGGAGAAAATTATCTCTATGCCTACAGCCATCCCCTAGGTGTCAGGCATTACACTGAGTGCCCTTTTGAGAGGCAACACTGTGTAATAGTCAAGGGCACAGACCGCACATGCAGACTTCATGGATTCTAATCCCAACTCTGCTAAGTAACCCTGAGTAGTGAATTACTTAACTTTCCTGCCTTAGTTTCCTCATCTGTAAAATGGGAATAAACATAGTATATCTTATAAGATTACTAGAATTAAATGAGTTAAAACAAATAGAACACTGATTGATAAATAATAAATGCTCAATCAAGAATTAGCCTTTTATATTATTAACTGATATGTAAATACATTATTTCACATAATCTACATCTTCATTTTAGAGATGAGGAAACAGGATCAGAGAAGCTAAGTGGTTTGGTCAAGGTCAAATAATTAACAAGCAGTGGAAGCAGGACCTGACTTTGTGGATGTATACTCTTTACATAAAATGGAAAAATGTTTAGGGGCGCCTGGGTGGCTCAGTCAGTTGGGCATCCGACTCTTGGTTTTGGCTCAGGTCGTGATCTCGTGGGTCATGGGATTGAGCCCCATGTTGGGCTCTGCGCTCAGCAGTGTCCGCTTGAAAATTCTCTCCCTCTGCCCCTCCCCCCCACTCTCTCTCCCATAAATAAATCTTTTAAAAAATGGAAAAATGTTTATTGAGAGAGTCAACGACTATCTTACTGGTACATTCATATCATGACTCCCTTATACTGCCCAGCCAAGGAGGATAAGAAAAGATAAAAAGCCTCCTGAGCTTCCAGACCCTCAGGCAGTGTCATTCCCTCCTCTGTCACTACAGCCTATACGTATCTCTGATACAGCAATTAATACATCCCACTTACAACAACATTCATTTACCTGTCTTTCTTAACCATTGAACAACTTGAAGGCAAGGTCTATATCTCACGAATAACATTTATTGAGTTAAACTCAAACCAGAGTCATTTGACAAATGGGGCTGTAACTGAATCCAGGTCTGACTCCATGTAAATGGGCCTGGAAGGTAAAAGGAAGGATACATGGAGACACACACACACACACACACACACACACACACAGGTAATTACATATCTCCCTATACACACATATATGTGCTTGTGTAGGAATTCTTTTTTGTATAAGGCATTATTCCAACCTCTTTACGCACATCAACTCTATTCTCACAACAGCCCAATAATATAGGTATTATTATTCCTATTTCACTGATAAGGAATATGAGGCCAAGAGAGATGAACTAATTTGCCTGACACGTAGAAGCTAACGAGTGATGGAACTGGAACTTGAAGCTAGTGACCTGGTTCTGCAGACTGTGCTCTTAGAGGGTCTATCTACAGCCTCTAAACAGGACAGCAAGCAGGCAGCGGGGCGG